AATATGGGGAAGATGGATTGTTTATATTCAAAAGAAACATAAAGTGGTAGAATATAAGTTAGGTTTTTAGAATTTTTTAAGTTGGTTTATTTCTACTATCTTTTCTTGTAGATTAAGATATTTTGTAGAGTTAGAGATATTAGTATTTGTTTACTTTTATATGAATATTATTCTGGGATTAGGTTTGGGGAGTCCGGGGTGGGCTGGGGGGTTATTGATTGGTTATTGTGTTTACTTATGATTGTTTTTTATGATTGAAAAAATAAATAAAATTTCTTATAAAAAAAAAAAAAAGACTTGTGGACTTCAACTTCCAGAATTCCTCAGCCAGCCCTAGCTGGCTGAGGAATTCTGGGAGTTGAAGTCCACAAGTCTTAAAGTTGTCAAGTTTGAAGACCCCTGCCATAATGGATGGTGTGCCAGCTATTTCACTCACATAAAACACAAAGTTTTAGCCTCCAGTATTTGTTGATTCAACTGGCTAGCTTGGGGTTTTTTTTTTCTAAAAAGGGGGCCAGCTGTACTCCTATATTTGCAAGTCAGTGATATTTGGATTGGTACATGTCCACTCAAATTTGAACTCGATAACAGGGCTAGTTCCTACAGAATGTTTTTCCATTTTGTCTGCTTTTGCATTCTCAAACAGCAAAAGTATGAGATTTGTAGCAAGCCACTACCAGGCTCTCACAGTGTGACTGATGGGCAGCTTTCAGTTTGATTGACCACTAGATGCTCAGACCTCTACCCCAACTAGTACTGTATATATTTGATACATATGATTTTTCTATTTTACAACCACCATCCCTTTGTTAACAACAAAATTCTCTTAATGTAATACACTTCAAATTCAATGTGATTATTAAAAAAAGCAAGGTAACATAATTCATCAACAACAATGGCCTAAATCATATTTGTTCCGCAGGACATTTTTTTCAGCACACTAACTTCTTTAAGGATATACAGAGCACCAAATAGGCACAAGGTATAACCCATCTATGCATTAAATTGGCAATTTCTTTACAATGTAATATTGGCAGAAATGGCAGGAATTATGTGAGAAGATCTTCAGCAGGACAGATGAGGAATTTAATTCTGTTTTTTCTGGATCTCAGAAAAATTCTAAAGCTTGCAACGGTCTTTAAGGAAAATTCCCCTCTATGCCTGTTTAAATATCATATTCAAGGAGGAATTTTATTTCCTGTCAGAGTCAGGAAAGGCTTATGCACCCTCTTGACACCTGCTGTAACCTGATAATTATTAGCTTATTGCATAAATATTATGTAACCCTGCAGCTGATGTTATTTGTGTTTTCAAAGGCTTACATGTCAGCTGTAAACTTGCAAGTGCACTTGATATCATATATTATGTGACTTGGTTTGAAAAACACACACACAAACACACACATACCACAGATATACATAACTTGCATGGACTTTATATTGTGATGGCTGCATGTTGCACATCCATTGTGGAGACCAATTTTCCAGCCTTTCTATTCAGATCATCTTACAGCCACTATAAAACTCATAATTCAAAAGAAAATTCTAAATGAGTTATAATGAAGGACTGGCAAAACCAGGAGGAGAGCTTAAATGACATTGCCTTTGATAGAGAGAAAGTTGCTAGGTACCTTTTCTTTGCGACCCCTCGTCGCTAGATTAATTTCAGCTATCTTTTTTCACATCTGCACATCAGACTTTATTAAGCTGCAAGGAGACACCGGCTCAGAGCCAGACATATTGTGACAAAAGGAGCGAAGGGGAGTCAGAGAGCCAGATCTGAATAGCAGTAGTTTGAAATGTTAAAATCCTTGGTAAGATTATTTGATGATTGGAACAAAACATGCGTTTTGCAGAATGCACATAGGTTCTGAGGCAAGGTTTTAATCAATCCTTTACATTTCTGAAATAAATCGGTGTTGATTTTTACCATATTTGGTTGCTATTTGGAAGACATTTAGTGATTTATTTCTGATGCATGTATCATCCCATACCTCTTCATAATTATAACAGAAATGTGCAGAGCTTAAAGCATCATGCATGCAACTGTAGAAGAGGCTGCGGCTGCTGTATTATAAATAGGTTTAATAGATTGTTATATGCTGCTCAGAGTCATTTCCCACGAGATGGGAAGCCATATAAATTGGATAAATAAATAGATTGTTTTATAGAAAAGTGCGATAACTGCACACTCACTTCCGTGGCTGCACAGAAAAGTTTTGACTCTCCATCTATCCAAGCAGCTTCCAAATGTCCCTAACTCAAAACTCTCCTGAAGGGACAGGAAGGAGAAGACAAAAAACCTCTACATTATAAAACTTAGAAGCCATGCTATCAGCAACTTATATGTTGTTAATACTGTGTTTTCCCAAAAATAAGATCTGGTCTTATATTTATTTATTTTTTTGCCTCCAAAAAAGGCATTAGGTCTTATTTTCAGGAGATGTCTTATTTTTTTCCACTGTCTCACCTCACAGTGGTGGCACTGACAGCCCTGGCCTGCAGGAGCCCGTGTGGCCACCGCCATCCCACTTCTTCTGCAGCTACTCGCAGTCGCTTCTGGCAGGATGCCGCGTGGTGTCACTGCCACAAGGTGAGGCAGGTGGGGGAGGGGGTGGAGCTGCCCCATGCACTCCTCCACCCGCTTATCTCAGGGCCCATGCAGCCAGGCCTGTCAGGACCCTGAGGTAAGCAGGTGCAGGGTGGTGGGGCAGCTCCCCCCCCCTCCTCGCCTCAGCTCGTGTCAAGCAACCAGAAAGTGTGATAGAATGGACGGGCAGCCGACTGCACAGGCTCTTAAGTAGGGGTTATTTTGGGGGTAGGGCTTATATTAGGTGCATGCTTAAAAATAAAGGTAGGGTTTATTTTCAGGATAGGACTTATTTTGGGGAAAACACGATATGCAATGATATTATGTTATATTATTATGTTATTCATAAATCTGTATTTGTATTTGTATACAGATTATATTTTATAATATAGGAGAATGCTTAAAGGTCAGGGTTGAATTCTGGTGCTCTTCAGCAGCCAACAGCTAGATAAGCTAGGTATAGTCCCAGATAAACAATCAAACAGAAAATAATACCCTAATCAAACCATTCCACCACCAACACTAGCAGGACAAGCTATTGTATATAAATAATGAGCAAACTCCATGCTCACTTGCACTGATGATGTTACCTGGTTGAGTATTGAAATGTCTGCAAGCAAACACCAAGCAAACACCAAGGACTCTACAGATTTCATATGTATGTCTCAACATATTTGTGACTGATTATTCAGTTTCATATTTTTAAAAAAAACAAACCAATTTCTTGTGTTTTTCTCTTTATCCTTTCTTTTTCTTTTACTCTTCACCTCTATCTCTAATTTTCACCTCTCTGTTTCTTTGACTTAATAAAGTTGAAGTGATCTGGGTCAAACAATAGCTTCATTTGTTATCTCCTACAGTGGCAGCTATGACTGGCTGAGTACAGAAAATATCATTTTGAGATGTGTCAAACAATCTTTCAGAAAAAAATTCTAGAGATTCTGCTGCATATTTCAAAAAGCTTATTTTATATTCCTATTTGCTGTACTTTAGATAGTGAAATATTGAGCAGACTACATGAACAGATTAGAAAGTAATCTTGGTCTTTACCTGGATTAATTTTCTGTAACAGGAGATCTCTTTCTCTCACAGGCACACCAAACACACTCTGAATTTCTATTGAACATGACCAAGGATTATGTTAGCTCAGAGTTACAGAAACCGAAGTCCAACATTCTGAAATCAGCAGGATGAGAAAAAATGTAGTCTAAGTCTATTGTTAGATCATGGGTGTGGAACTATGGTCCTTTTATGACTTGTGGACCAATTCCCAGAATTCCTAAGCCAGCCATGTTGAAGTCCAAAAGTCATAAAGGAGCCATAGTTCCCCACCTCTGGTTTAGATTATTAAGATCAGCACTTTAAATTGGTCTCAGAAACACAGTGGAAATCAATAAAGTTGGTATAGCACTGGAATAATATTTTTGCTACCTGACCGTAACCTAGCCACTTCCCCAAGGTAATCTTAAAATTCAGGTAATCTTAATCATGGTCCTCACCTTTGTAATGTCCATGCAATCTTTCAGGCCTTTTGTCATGCACTAATATCGCCACACATTCAGAGCACACAAAGTCGCTTTAGTTGTATTTGAGCTTGCAGCACTGATACAAAGGCACTTCAGGTCATCATAAAAATTGAAAATGGGACACTTATTCAGCTTTGTTGAATAGCCTGGAAAACAAGAGAAAATGCAGCATAAAATTCGTGTTCCTTACTTCAATTATCGGTCTAATTACACCTATTCTGGTGAGAATAAAGACATGCTTAAAATTTAGGAGTAATCAAGTCCCTGGTGAAATCAATCATAAACAAACAAGCAAGCAAGCAAATAAACAAAACTCTTGTTAATTTTAAAGGAGCAGATTTTCCAAAGCAGGAAGCTCACCCTCAATTAAACAAACATTTAATGTATTAGTGTAGGTCATATTGAGACCGTGACAGTGACAAGATGTAAAATTACAGGCATGATAATCCTTACAGGTGAAATAACATACTAGTTCATTGCATTGCAGCCTGAAGGCAGGGGAGGAAGCCTATAACCAAACTAAAAATATGTTGGCTATTTATTTTTAACATTTTGCATTTGTCTTACTAGAACATTGCTACAGCAATGTACTGTACAGTATTGTACATGCCATAGTGTTCCCTGTGATGCTCTATGGCAGGGCTTTTCAACCTTTTCACCCATTGTACCACTTTTAGGATATGGCAACATCCGAGTACCACCAGTCACCTAGCAAGGTGTCAAAAACTTGATGACCAAAAAAATAAATAAATGAAAAAAGTGATAAAGTACAGGTGGTCCTCGACTTACAACAGTTCACTTAGTGACTCTTAGAAGTTACAATGGCGCTGAAAAAAGTGCCCCCCAAGCCACAGCCGAGCAAGACATCTGCCTGCCCACCCTGCGGCGCTCTTCCTCCTGTCCGAGGTTTTCATTATTGTGAGCATTTCTGTTGAGGATTGGCAGCGGGGGTGGGGTGGGGGGTGTTTGGTTTTTATTCCCCCCATCTGCTGGGTGGTTGCAGCAGGTTTTGGTTACTTCACGTGACCCTGGGACACTGTGACCATCATAAATATGAATCAGTTGCCAAGCATCTGAATGTAAATCACAAGACCCTGGAGATGCTGCAACATTCCAGCTGATTGGTGCTTCTTCTGGGCTCAGCAGAAGCATGAGGATCAGTGCTGCTTTCCAGCTGATTGGTGCTTCTTCAGGACTCAGCAGAAGCGCCAGGATCAGCGCCAAGCTCCAGATGGAGCCTGGCATTGATCCTGGCACCACTGAGCCCTGACAGCCCCAAAGAAGGGCCAATCAGCTGGAAAGCGGCACTGATCCTGGCGCTTCTGCTGAGCCCTGACAGCCCTGCAGCTCCAGCCATCTCTCGCTCAGGCTTTTGTGGTGCTGCCAACGGTTCAGCTCATTCCCCTCCCCCACTACCACTTTTCTAGGATGGTCGCATACCACCTGCCAGGTGCCAATGTACCATAGGTGGTACCCATACCACTGGTTGAAAAGCCCTGCTCTATGGAAGCAAATGTCGCACTTTGAAGAAGCATGATAGGAAGAGTAGTGATGCCTTTGAATTTTGGTGTTGGATTCCTGAGAATACTGTGGCCAACCAAGAAAACAAATCAATGGATAATCAAACACATCAACCCAAAAGTTCTCACTCAAGTCACAAATAACTAGGCTTCAATCATTCTACTTCAGACACATGCTAAGGCCCACCTCCCTGGAAAGGATATAATGCTGGGAAAGGAAAAAGGAAAGAGAAGAGCCAGCAACAAAGTGGATGGAACCAGTTACAATGAGTGCACTGTTGGATGACCTGAAAGAGCAGGTTAGGGACAGACTATGGAGAAACTTGATTTGGTTCCTAGGAGTTAACTACATGATGGGACATAATCATCAATTATCAATGTACTACAGGATTGTGATTTTGGCAACCACTGCTGCTGAGCCAGTCCAAAATTACCAGAATGGGACAACTTGTTACAGCCAACTTGCCATGGCCAACTCACTGTGGGACAATTTGCCATGGTCAACTCGCCATGGGACAACTCTCTGCAGGACAATTCAACAATTCAATTTAATTATTTTAAATAATTAAAAAATATTTTAATTTTCATCATTCCCTCTTTTGGCATCTTTTCTTTAATGATTGTATTCCACCTGTCAGAACCCTATGTTCTGTGTGCATGGGATTTCTTATTCTTTTCGGATTCTGCCATTCTCCGGGGGGGAGGGGGAAGTTTGAGGTGCTGATGTGTATTTGCTTTGCTCTGTCTCTTGCTCTATCCTCTTTGATGTGTTTCTAACGGGGTGAGAATGGAATGTACCTCCGCCATCTGCCTTATCTCCAAGTGTGGAAGAAACAGCGCAGACACCTAACAGCCTTGGAAGTGGCGCCTTATCACTCTGTTCCCATGGTGTTTTCACACCTGCGGATTGGCCTGTTTGAACTGTCCAGATGGACAGTTTGGGTGGGGTTACTATGAACACTTTTAATTACTTGATTCACCTGGGAAACCCTCATATCCTGCCTTCTATTCCTGCTGTCAACACCTCCCAATAAAACTTCCTTTTGAAATGATGCCGTTTCAAGAGATCTGCTTTCTTGGGAGAACTGATTAAGGCGGGTCTTTGCACCACCATTTTTTCAATATTAATGTAACCAGTGGTGGGATTCAGCCGGTTTGCACCACTTCGACAGAACTGGTAGCTAATTTTTTGTTGTCCAGGCCCAGAATGGACTTCTGGAAGCAGCATCCACACAGAGAACTGGTTGTTCACATATTTGAATCCCACCACTGAACATAACTCTTGTCCCATGCGAGTTGTCCTATGGGAAGTTAGCCATGATGAATTGTCCTAGGGTGAGTTGACTGTGGCAAGTGGGCCATGGCAAGTTGTCCTAGACCCCAAAATTACAGCAAGGGTCTCCTTTGCTCAGATGCCTAGATGCTGGAGAAACCTCATTCCTTAAAGATTGTGTTATGCAGTAACAGATATACAAATCTCTGTACATGAATGATCTACTGGGAGGGATTCTCAGAGGAAGAAGTTGGAGAAGCTCCCAAACTGCAGTTCAGAGTTTACTGTTTTACCAATTACCTCAACCTGTAGAAGTGAAAAGGGCTGGAAATTGTATGCTAAAAAAATTAGCTGAAGATTCCCTTCTTTTCCTCAGCAGGTACTACGTGGCTAATCTTAGCTGATCTCAAAAAAGCTAAATAGGATACAACCTGGATAATACTTGGATAAAACACCACTAAGAAATCCTAGAGTGTTTGGGAGACCAGGACATTAAAAGAAGAAGAAAGCAATGACACAAACTTTCTTATTGCCAAGAAAACTGCATCAACATGTCCAAGCAATTGCTTGAGTGAAAAATTACCCTTATCTTTTTCTATTAAAATGTTAGATGAAAATAGATATAAAAACATACATCTGTAAAGCGATATCAGGTATTATTCCCTGCCAACTATATGCAGGTGCACATATCTATTTTTTTTCCTATTTCAGATAAATATTTGTTCCCTACATGATAAACAACTGAACAAATCCAGGCACATAATTAATAAACAGCTTTTCCATCAAAACTCTCTATCCTCTGGGTGGATTGCTGTGCCCACATCAGTGTATATTATGTATGTATAAATATACATTATATTGACAAGAATATATTCTGCATGCCTCTAAATATACATCTCTGCTTGTCAATATACTGTACATTGATGTACATACTGAGTAGAAAACAGTATACTGGTTTTAAGGGACTCCACAGCCCTCAACCTGACCTCTGTAAATTATAGTCGTATAGCACTGATGATGTTACCTAGTTTGGTAATGAAATGTCTGCAAGAAAACCACCAAGCTCAAAGAAGACCATGGATCCCACTGGACTGGACTGGATTGGGGACAAAAAGGGAAGGGTCATTCTTCCCTCACAATTCACATTTTCTGGACTGGTTTCTAGTGTGTTATGAACCAGGTTTGAAATCTCAGCTACAAGCAAGGTGACATTTAAGTATGCTCAAATCCCCAAACTACAGGTTCTGATCTTTGGGCCATAATCACAATGGGGGGGAAAAGATAAAAAAGAATAAAAGAAAGTAATATTGCAATTTGCAGATAAGACTGGAAAGTAATATTGCATCAAGCAAGGATATCTGTTTCAAACAACAAAGCCCCTTAATGTGTATTCTACTGGCAATACTAATTCTATTGTATTGATGTTGTTATGTTCTGTCACCTTTTAGCTAAGAAGGTACTTCTCTAGATATGCCAGGAATACTTATGGAAAGAAGCTTATTGTGTTGCATTGTTCATTAAGCATGCTTTATGTATCCCCAGGGTGAGTATTGGAAGCAGAGAAAGTCTTTGGAAACCTCACACACACACTGCTATGCATTTGGATAACAAATCCACAAGAATAACAGACTTCTTACTGCCTATTTGTGTGGTTAAAATGCTTGCCAATCGTTTTTTCCCCCTAAACTCGAGCTCCCAAGACACCTGGCTTCATCCTGGATTCTACCAACTTTTTTGAAATTCCAGGCTAAAGTGATGCAATGTGGATTTGTACATGCTTTGATTCTGATTTGTATCTGTAGGGGTATCATGGAAGGACTCTTTAAAAAATTGCTTTCTCTGTCAGTAGGGGGAGAGCAAACAAGAGGCTATTGCTTGAATTGAAGTAACCAGGATATCAGTCTTTCTATTTAATGATCAAGGCAGCATTGCAGGGATCTGTGTCATTTAAAAAAATAATAATTACGAACTTATTCTGGAATTTTATTACAAATTCTCATAAAATCATCAGTACATTGAAGACTATAAATGCCAGTGGGAACAGATGATGAATGTGTCTTGATTTTATTGCTGAATGAATTATTACAGGTTAGGAGAGAGGGGGGAGGGGGAGGGAGAGGGAGGGAGAGAGAGAGAGAGAGAACGAACACAAAGCATACTTTATGTAGCAATCTACAAGCCAAAATTGGCACAACTGTATATTCATTCATTCATTCATTCATTCAATCAATCAATCAATTTCTATAGCCACCCCCCCATCTCACTCAATGATTCTGGGCACCTTAACAATTCAAAAAATATCTTATAATCAAAATACTAAAAACATTTGAAAACAATAAAAACATCCAAAATA